TATATATATATATATATATATATACATATACAATATATTTTACTACTTCCATAAACATTGTGCATTGTGCAGTGGTGTCCCTCATGTGTATTTAAACAACTGGCTGAAATGTGGACTTTTTGTAGTTTCCAGATCCTCATTTTGAATGTTTTTATCACTATTTACTGCATGTGGATGTCATAAACATTTTATTTTATTTTACTTATAAGGGCTTTTTTATCTTGGTCCTCTGGTTCACTCGGCAGTGGAAAACCCAGATGTTTTCATCGGAGAACTGCAGTCTGCTCTGGATGTGTCTGACAGTAAAATATTTCAACGTTCTATTGGAAAAAAATCTGAGTGAAGAGGGTTTTTCTTCTTCTTCTTCTTTTTTACATGTGTGCACTGAGGGTCATCATCATCATCTTGAAGCTCTGGGTTTGTTTTTCCAGATGTTCAGTCTTGGAGGCGTAAAAGAGGCAGTGTGGCTCAGAAACCAGGTGGTGGCGCCGGTGATGGAGAAGCTGCTGTTCAGGGGGGGCCATGCTGCCTCTGCTGCTGACCCACAGCTGGAATCCTCACATCTCTGCTCTTCTTTGGTGCCTGCATGACAGCAAGACCTCCAGACAGGAAACTGCTTATATTCACAATGTATTGAAGATTTTTTTTTAATCACTGAATAACTTACTGCATTTTTTTAACGAGTTCTTTCTGTAAATGTTTGGAATCATATATGTTTATATTTCATACACAGGGTTCTGTCTTTATTATAGAGCAATTACATCTTGGTAAAGAAAAAACGAGTGTTATTTTCTTGGAAGCAGGTGATTTGTCTTTATGTAAGAGTTTCAGCTATAGCGTGAGTAAATAAATCTTTTTTCTTTTCTTTTTATATAGTGTACTTTTCTTCTGTGGCTCTGATGCCAGTATAAATTCTTGTTTCATCCTCAAATACAGAGGCACTTCAAACAAAAAGTCTAAATTTCATTGATTATTACAATCCCTTTGCTTTACAGGGATGCAGTTTTTATTTATAACTCTGATGCCTTTGCTGCTTTTCTACCCCTGAGATGAAATGCAAAGCACACGTGTCCTTGTTTAAATATTTAACTAGACTTCCAAGGAGTGCATGTCACCCACCACACCTAGAGTTTTAAACAAAGATCTTGCGTGATCTGTTAGCCCTCATTATGTTTTAGGAATGACTCTCAGCTACTAACTCATCAAATTGCTGCTCAACATTTGTCAAACTGGCTGAATAATAGCTATTTTTGTGTTTGCTAAGAGCTTTTGGCTGTGGTGGCCATTTGAGCCGAGTTGACTCCAAGTTAGCCAGTTGTATCAAACAGTTACTTATTGACTATCATTAAACTCGATCAAG